GGGCCGCGGCCTGGTGGGGGTGTGAAGGTGTTGGAGCCGGGCGAGCGGGAGGCGCGGGCGGCCAACCTGGGGAGGTGCCCCCCGCGGTGGGCGCCGGGCCTGACGTGACCGGCCGCGGCACGGCTCGGGAGGCGTGTGCTGGCCGGGTCCCCCGGGCTGGCACGGACGGGGAAGCGAGGTTACCTCCTCGCGGGGGAGCGCCCGGCCTGCGCGCCGCCGTTGACGCCTCTGTGGAGGGGAATGCTGCCGGCCGGCGTCAGGAAGGGCCTGTGCGAGGGAACGCAGCGTCTGTGCTGCAGGGCAGGAGGGAGGGAGCGGCGTCTGTGCCGAGCAGCAGGGAGAGCCCATATGCAGGGATTTACTTTGGACCGTGCGGTGTTCTAGACGCAAAGAGCCAAAGCAAATGGGGTGGGAAAGGCGCAGTTCCTGGCAGTCCAATTGTTCTTGCTGGCGGAGCCAGAACCGGCCCTGGATAAGGCAGGAATGTAGCTCCTTTGTGTCTAGTTCCTGGAGCTCTGTGTCCAGGGAGCAGGCAGGAGCCGCGGTGTAATTCTCGTCGCGGCGCTGCTGTACTCCGTGGCTCTGCTCTGTGTCCTGTTTTAGATTAGGATCCCAAAGCAAACTGGTTTATGCTGGAAGCTTTCAGCGGGTGCTTCCTGCAGGGGCCTGTAGGGCCTTGGGTGCTCATCGCGTCTTTTTTGTGATTGTCTGATTCTCTTTAAGACTCGCCCTACAGCCAGCTGCCATCCAGGGACTGTTGGGGCCCCAGCAAGATACCAACAGTTTGTACGCTGGGTCGGCAGGACGTATTGCAGGTGATTTCTCACCCAAAGCCTGGGCTGGGCTGAGAGTCCTTCCACCTCTCTCTCTTCCTGCCACTTCCCCAAGCGCCCCTGTGTGCCTGGAAGCCACAGCGCCTGCCAGCCTGGGGAAGGAAGCTCACCGCATCCCTCAAATGTCTGGCGAACGGCCACATGTCCAGGTTTGCCTGGATGTGCTTGGGGGGTGCTGCTGCCCTGGCTGGAAGTCAGAGTTTCCCTCCTCTATGAGCTTGTCTCGTGCTTTGCCCCTGCAGAGAGTCAGTAGAGGGTAACAGGGTTTGCCCTGCTGTTGGCTTGACTGTGCTGGGCCCCACTGTACTGACCAGGCACATCCTTGTTCCCCACTCCTTTCTCCCCCACTTCAGGGATCTGGTTTCTTCCATCTTGCGTAAACTGGAGGCTCCCTGGAGCAAGGCCTGCCTGGCTCCGCGTATGCACAGGGTAATGCAGTTCCCCCTTTTGCCCTTCTGCACAGCTACATTGCAGGCAAGGCAGGGGAGGGCTGCCCGCGCCCATCGGCTGCCTGCCTGCCTCTGCTGCTGGCTGTGCCTGTGGGCCGGCTGCTGTGGCGTGCAGAGACCAATCCCATGTGTGCACCCTGGGACTGGGCACACAGGCAATCGCCCCCCCCCCCCCAATCATTGCTTTGGAGCTTTCCTTTGTTTGTTTACTTATCTCGCTAGTAAACAGAATAGCTCTTGGAGATTAGGCAGGAGGGAGAAGAGGAAGGGAAACCGGACTCTGAGGTTATGACCTCCTTGTGGATGCTGGGCTGTTTACATTCCCTGCTCTGGTCCCAGTAACTATTGCGGGACAGTTTCTTCTCAGCGTTGTGCCAGTCTGCAGAGGTTTTTCCCTGCTTGTGCTGTTCCTGCCCTGTTCCCTACAGCACTTTCTGACAGGCATTGGTGCCACAGCCAGCGGAAGACGGCCAGCATTCCGGTGTCCCTTGAGGGGCAGAGTCCTGCACTTGGTCTGCTGCCTTGTATTTCATGAATGAAAGCCTCTGAATGGGGATTTTGGGAGCTATTAGCCCCATGTTGCTGAGCTGAGCCAGAACCTGCAGCTCTCGGGAGAGCTGAAAGGCAAACACTTGGCTCTGGCTGCTCAGACGAACCATGGCTACGAGACATCTGGTTGTCATTAGCCAGCGGCTGCCGCCAGGACCCAGTGAGTTAGGCAAAGAGTGCCCAGGAGGACTGAAAAGGAGGGAGTGCGGAAGAGGAGTGGCAGCAAGGGCAGCGCAGGGAGCGCGGGTTAAGTGGGCAAAGCTGCTGGAAAGATGCATGTTGGGGTCCTGGTGTATTCGGCTAAAATCTTGCTGCCTTGCAGACTGTGCTGGCCACTGTGGTAGAGGAAGTGTGGTGGGGAGTGTGTGTGTATGTCCCTGGGCAGCTGGAAGGAGACTTACCTGGTGGTCCACAGCTGCCGGGCGCTACAAAGCAGGATCCCCCTCTCCTGCCGCAGCTGCAGGCAGCTACCTCCTGCACTGCACACCCTCCTTCCCTTCCCTTCCTTTCCTGGGTGTATCCAGGTCCCCTGGGGCAGAGCTGGTCGCTGCAGCTTCCCAGCTGGTGCGTGAGCAAGCAAGGAGGCTGAGACAACTGCAGACGGTGCTGGTGCTGTGGGCAAAAGAGCTGAGCAGGGGATGAGCTGGCCGGCTGAGCAAGGCAGCACGTTTTCTGAGCCTGCAGAGGAGTTGAAATCTGGCTCATCTCCTTGGAGAACTGCCAGCCTGCCCAGGATGGCGTCCTGCTCTGTACCATCAGGGATGGCTGCTGGAGACACTGCTTGCCCTCCACCCAGTGAATTCTGCATCCCCAGGGGCTGAATGTTATCCCCCAACTGCTCATGTGAGGGAGGAGAAGGCAGGCCAGAAGCTGGGTAGAGCCTGGGAGCGTTGGAACATCGTGTGCTGGGAGGCTGTTTGGATTAGAAACTCTCGGAGGATAAGTGGACTGGATGAAATGCCAGGGAGGGAAATCAGAGTTTGCTGAACTCTAGTAATTGGACTCGTCTGCAACACCCGGGTAAGCAAAGCGAGCTGCTCACGCTCAGTGCAGGCAAAGGGAAGAAGCCAGCAGGCGAAAGCCAGCAGAGCCATGGCCCAGCAGGAACAACAGGGCAGGCTGTCAGGACAGCACAGACTGTGAAGACTGGATAGGTGACATGGGAAGAAGCAGCATAGGGTCATCGCTGCGTGCCTAAGCCACTTGCTGAGCACAAGTGACTGAGTTACAGATGGCATGGTGCATGGGAGTGGGGGGAACACAAAGCACAGTCTAAGGAGAAAGATGCACCAAAGGCATCTTTGGTGTGACGTGATTGCTCTTTGGAAAGTCCATGCTCAAAGGCCTGAGACAGAAAAAGGGAGGGGACAATGGAAGCCCAAAGCTCTTACAGCCACAGATGTGGAGGCAGAGGTGTAAGGAGGCAGGAGTGAATCTGCTGAAGGGCTGAGGGAGCCCAAACCAGTGTTTTCTGCGTGCTACAGGGAAGAAAGTAGGTCACTTAGTAAGTGAAGGGGGTGGAAATGATAGGCTGAACCAAGTGCTGAATGCATGTTTAAAACTCAAGCTTCCAGGGAAAGAAGACAAAAAACCCAAACAAACAGCTGGTGATCAAAAGCAGGTACGTGAATAGCTGAAAAGCTCATCTCTGTGGGTCTGGAGGCACACACACATGTTGCCTGAGTCATTGGCAGTTTTAGCATGCTTGAAATTCACGGCTGATGCTGCAGGTACCAGGGCATGTGGTCTGCTGGTCTTCACTGATGACTCTGGTAAACAACTGTCCCCTAAACTGGTCATCCTCAGGAAAGTGGAAGGCTGCCATAGCTGCCTGGGTGGCCAAGGAGAAACAGACAGGGCTTGCTATGGGGAGTAACAGGACGGATTCAGTGCCTCAGGTTAGTGAAGGATTTGATGCAGCTCCTTGCTCAGCAGCCTACGTGTACGTGCGCCTGTCTCTGCCTGGAAAATGGCAGCTGGCTCATCCTCACGTCAACGCAGCGCCTGCAGGCAGGCCAAGTCCGTAGCCAGACCCTTGTGGTACCGATGCAGTCTGCGATCCGTACGGGAAACGAGTAGGCGGTTCTGAATCCAGCCCAGGGACCGTCTCTCCTGCCAGCAAGTTCTCCATTCGTGTCCCCCTCCTTTTTGGAGCCTTAAAAATAGAGACCGAGGCTGGAAAGCAGGAGGGTTTTTATAGGGCTCGGTTGTGGAAGTAGCCCAGGCTGGGCTGCCCCTCGCCCTTCCCAGCCCCCAGGAGAGGCATGGGAAGTTGGTGTCCAAATGCTTTCCCTGGATGTGGAGCCTCACTCGTCAGCTCATTCATCTGTGGCAGTTCCCCAGGTCTCCTCTCGGGATGCAGGCAGCTGGTTCAAAGGCCAGGCTGGTCAGGAAGAGGCGAGGGAAGTGTGGGAAGTCACTGTGTGTCATGTAGGAAAACAAGCCCCAGTGAGGGACGAGGGAGCACAGTGTGGGGCTGGGCGAGAGGTACCGGCCCCAGCATCGCTAGCGGTATGGTGGGCCTTCATACCCGGAAAAGGCGTTGGCTTTGCTTGGTGCCGCCAAAGGCACAAGCGGCTCAGAAGGCTCAGTGGCACTGTGCAGGTGTTGGCCATGGCTCTGTCACTGCTCGGAGGGCACGCGGCAGGCTGGCTGGGCCAGGGAGGAGGTGATGCCGGGGGCCCGTCCCTCCAGGATGGCTTCAGAGAAGCCCCCAAGCAAACCTGGCGCGGCTGCAGGAAGCCAGGCCCTTGGGGCAAGACAAAGCGCGGCCCGGCCGCTTTGTGGTCACCGAGGGGTCCGTGACACCAGCAGTCTGGGCTGCTTCCTGGTCACCGGCCAGCTCCCCGCAGTTCCTCTGCTCACGCGCTGCAGCTGGCCCCGGGCTCGCTTTGCTCATTGTCTGCTGCGGGTGATGGCAGCTATTCAGCAGCTGCCAGGTTTCAGGGAAAGGGAGAGATGAGCCACTCCTCCACCCACGTTCTGGGAAAGCCTCCGGGATGAAGCCCTGCCGATGCACACGTTCGCTCCTCGATGGGGAGAGCGTGCTACGGAGCCTGCGTCCCCGCTCTGCCCACATCCCATGCCCCCCCCCCCCATCCCGACCTTATCAGCAGGTGTGATACTGGGGAGCAGAGCTTGGAAGCAGCCCGTGCTGCTGTCCTGTCCCGCACAATAGCGGATCCTGCTGCTCACCATCTCCTCGCCTGTTTGACTTCCAGAGCCAGGCAGAGTCTCGCCATCACTATTATTTTGCTTTGTGTCAATATTATGACAGCTAAAAGCAGGAGAACTGCATCCACATGATAAGCAGCCAGAAGCTCTGGGCTGGGCGTGGATTGGGTTCGAGTTTGGCAGGGGAGAAAAGCGCCTGGCAGCCCCTGCCCACTGGCTGGCTGGGCTGGGCGAGCTGGGAGGCGAGGGGCAGCGGCTGAGCAGTGGGCAATTCACACCCAAGCGCTTCTCCTCTCTGTGCAGTGCTCACTGCCCTTTTCCCAGGGGAGATGAAACACGATAGATGTGCAGACTATGCTTGGTTCTCCGGTAGAAAAGTAACCCCAGTCTCTTTCCTGGGGAGAGGGGCTGCTCTGCTCCTGCTGGGAGAGTCCCGTCCCTCCCAGGGCTGCCATACCCTGTCCCTCCCACCCCATGCTGGTCTGGGGTATTTCATCTCTGGCAGTGGTGGAGGGTCACGCACACGCTGCTGCACCAGTCTGTCCTGGTTGCAGCCTGTTCAGGCTTTCCCAAGCGCAGTGCTCTGCAGCTGCCGGAAAGAAATTCCCACAGGTTTTCTGGGGTTTGGGGGCTCTGCTCCCACCCAGGGCTTCAGGAGAGGAGCTTGGGCAGAGCAGGGTGAGCCATGCTGCGGGTGCTGCATCTCCGCTTCCTGCTCCGGACTCTGGGCACCTCCTGCGCAAGGGGCTGTTGTTTTGGCACAGGAGCTGCACGCCCTGCAGAGGCTGCTGACGAAAATGCTTACCTGTAGGTGCCCACGTATGCTTGGGGCTGCGGTTCGGCTCTCCGGTGCCTCGCCCTGCTCCAGGGCTGTGCTCTCCTGCAAACACCCATGGTCCGGCCAGTCCCTGCTGCACAGGGCTGGCCGGCCACCGAGTGCTGCAGCGGCCGAGTGTGCTCTCTGTCACCTCCCCACCGGGCACAGCTGACTGATGGCTGGGCTAGGAGATGGCTGGTCATCATTAACCCTCCCGTCTGCTGCTGGCATCGCTTTGCCACCTGCCCGCAGCTTTGTCCCGGTGGGAAGGTGACTCCGTCCCCGATCCCGGGCTCAGCCTCAGCACTAAACGAGGCTTATGCTGAAAGACAAAGCGTTAAGCTGAGCTGCACTGAGTCTGTCAGTCATCGACCTGTTCCTGGAGCACTGGCTGGCTGAGGGCCATGACTTCCCAGGGCTCGGGTCTGGTGATATCAGGGACCTCCTCCTTGGTGGCGTTGTCCCTGCTCCCGTGGGGGATTTAAGCCGTGCCTGGGAGCGGCAGCCAGGCTTGCCACAGGTTCCCCTCGTTGGGGTCTCCTGCCTTGGGCACTCTCGGGCAGCCCTGGTGCCTGTCCTGTGCCCCTCTGAAACTCGTGTCTGACCTGGGCCAGCCCCAGTGGCTGTGACCCAGGGGGGACAGGCCCTGCTCTCCCCAGGCATGGGGCTGGGCCGTCAGGTGCTGGCAATTTTGGCCGCGGGTCCCCAGGGGGGCTGAACTCCCCTCCTGAGGAACCAAAACAAACAGCAGAGTTCCTGCCACGTGCAGCCGGGGCTGACTAAGGCCAGACGCTTCCGCCTGCCATGGGCAGCAGCAGCCGGGGCCATGAGCCACCACCATCGGGGTGCGCGGCACAGCCCATTTCCCCCTATTGTCAGCCTCCCCCTCGGCAAACACATCCCCCTGCGCACCTGGGCTGGGAGGAGGCACTGACGCCACGGGAACCAGCTGCCAGGAGCGAGGGATGTGCCGCCACCAGCGTCTCTCGGGGTTGGAGCTGCTGCGGAATGGCTCTGGGGAGTCCTTTAGGGTCCGGGTGCCCAGGCAGGTTGTTTGCAGGTTGTTTCCTTGAGGAGCGATGCTGACCATCCAGGGGTCACTGGTGCAGCCCCGCTTGCCTGCAAGGGCACTGGAGAGCCTTGTGTTTCCCGGAAGAAATCAGCAGCAACCTCCTGGCGGAGAGGCCTGGGTTTCCCCGTGCGGAGACGCTGGTGCTGGGGAAGCCCCTGCCAGACCATGCCTATCCCCGGTCCCGCTCTCACATGCGGGTACATGGAGCTCCAACCAGCCAGTCTCCAGCCCTCTGCCTTTTTGCTTTCTGTCCCCACTGCGGAGACACAACCTGCAGAAGATTGAGCTGGTTTATCTCAGCGTTAGCTGTGAACCAAGTCCTCCATGCTCACTGATAGGGGACCTTAGGAGAGTCTAAGAGCCGGATCACAGGGCTGGGGAAAGCAGTCGAACGAAACACTGAGGGTGTACCATGGGCTTCCTGGGATGAAGGGTGGGCATGAGGAGCCCAGCGCCTTACGTCTTTGTGCTGCTTTGACCTTGGGAGTCCCATCACAGTGCAAGATGTAGGTCGTTTCTGGGGGTCTCTTGCCCACGGGGCAGGAGCGGCAGCAGCAGCCCGAGGGGGTGGCTGTGCCAGGCGCTGGAGCATGGGGGGTTTGGCACTTCCCCCAGCGGAAGCCTCCAGCCCTGATGAGGCTGATTCTGGTGTCCTAAAGAGCAGCAGCACAAAAATAATGCCCTGAGGATTTCAGGGGTGTTCTCCAAGGGCTTCAGTGGTGACACAGGAGGTCCTGGCCACAGTCGGATTAAGAGTGACACAGGGATGAGTTTTTGTTGGGCTGTTTTCATCCGAGATGCCGAAGGTGGGATTTTGCAGGGGAGAAGATGCCCATGAGGGGATTTTGATGCTCAAATAGGACTGTTTTATGGAAAAGGGGACTTAGAGGGACCTCTCCTGTGGTGAGCAGGGTGGGGTTTCACAGGGGAGAGCGGCTGCCTGTGCTGGGCTCCTTCAGTGCTCACGGGCAGCCCAGGCCCCTGCTCTTGCCTGTCACCCAGAAGGTGTAAGAGGCATGGAGGTGAGCCCGTTCCTCAGCAGGGCTGCCCCACAGCGTGGTTGCAGCCGGGTGCTGGGGCTGGCCGTCCCTGCTGGACTGCCAGGGCTCATCTGCAAGAGGGATGCACCATCATTCCCCACCCGCCTCCCTCCCCAGCGCTGTGAGCGAGGCAGGGAGGTGGCATAGGCAGGTGGTGGCATATTCCAGGCGATGCTCTCAGCCTGGGGGCTGTCGCATGGGGCTCACTGCAGGGGAGGCATCTGCCCTTTAAGGAAATGACTCTTATTTGCCTTATGTCCCAGGCTGATCCCTTGAGCCTCCTCTGTCCCTTGTTCCCAAAGTGCGTAACTCTGCTCCCCAGAGCCCAGTGGGAGGCGGTGTGAGGGACACACTGGTGCATTTATAGCATCGACCTCCAGCCCTGTCCTGCAGCTGGGGAAGGGTAGGCTTGGTCCCCAGGGGAAGGAGCGCAGCGGAGGGGAAAGTGAGTGGCCATGGCCCCAGCCAGCTGGATGTCCCATTTGCAGGAGGATGTTGCTGGTCACAGGTTACCAGTGTCCAAATATTATTTCTCTGCTCCTGTCTCTGCTCCGTGCCTCCTAGAAAGGGGATGCTCATCCCAGGAATGTAAACTCTGCCCAAGGCCTCTGAGGAAATAGCTTCAGACCAGGAACAGGATTGCACTCGGCAATTAAGGGCTGGTCTCCCCAGCCACACGGCTCCTGGGGGAGAGCCCTTTGCTCCAGCGCCAGAGGCTGGGCCTTGTGTCTGAGAGGTGGCCCCGAGGGACCTTCCTGCAAGGACAGGCGTGAGGCCCCGTGTGGTCACGGTCTTTGCAATAACAGGATTCTGTCTGTCCAGCAAGTTGGCAGCAGCTGCTGCTCAGGGCAGCCTCTGGTCCGGCCTCTCCAGTAGGAGGAAACGCTCCCTTCACCACTCATCTCAAAACCATCCCTGGGGAGGTGGGGGGGTCCCCTGGGCCCTGGACGGTCTGTGGGGTAGCAGAGGGAGAGCACAGGCATGCTCCAGCCATCACAGTGGGGATGGTACCTGCTCCTCGCTGCCCTGCCAGGGGTGAGAGAGTGAACAGGCACCGAACGCCGCCGTGGCAGCCCCCGGCAGCCGCCGTGCTGTGCTGCTGAGTGATGAACTGCAGTGCACCCGGGGGCCGGGATTTCTGTGCGCTTATCTCTGCAGCATCTCCCTGCTAATTTGCCAGGCCCTGCTCCAGCAGCTTTCTCGCACACTCAGCGGTACCAATGCCTGGCAGCTCCCGCCAGAGACCAGCTCCCGCTGCCGCCTGAGCCACTGCCGCCTGCATGGCCGGGGGACAGACAGCTGGCCTGTCCCACATCCCCTGGGGACAGACCCCACGGGACTGGGGACAAGCCACCAGCATCCTCATGTGGCAGGGACGGACCTCACACAGAGGTGGGCAGGGAAGCCCCGGAGCAGCCTCCCTGCTCTCCCAGGAGGACAGAAACGTGAACCCTGGCAGGGACACAGAGCCTGTTATTTCCCTGGGACCTGTGGCCCATGGGGGATCGTGTTGCCCGCTGGCATCTCTTCCCTTCCCACCTCCCATGGCTCCAGCTTCCCTGGCCTCTGGGCCTTAAAAATAGAACAGAAAAGGCCACAGATCTCCTTTGGGTTTGCCCTTGGCAGCAGGGTTTGGCCCCAGACCTGCTCCAGGGAACCACTGTGCCCCCTTCTTTCCCAAGCTGGCGGGACCCCCTCCCCATGGTGGGCAGGAGTGGAATGCGTCCCTGAGGCCGAGGGGGCTGGAAACGCCTGCCAGGGCTCCGGCAGCAGGGGCTGGCTGGGCAGTTGTGGGGCAGCTTGAGGGAAACAGGGTGGGTGGACGGGCCTGGGGTGCCCGGGTGGGGACAGGGCAACGGCAGGGGAACGGGGTGGATGGATGGGAAAGGGGCTTCTGGGTGGGCACGGAGCGGCCGGGCGGGCACGGGGTGGCCGGACGGGCACCGGGCAGCGCACGCCGACCCTGGGAGAGGTGGACAGGACCCGGGGGAGCCCAACGAGCCCAGGAGCCCCGACCCAGCCCCGGTGCTTCCCGCTCCCGCTCTGCACGGGCCGGTCCCCAGAAGCCCCGGGGCAGCCCGATGGGGAAACGGCCGGTGCCGGTAGCTGGAGCCGGGGGGCTCCGCCGCGCCCGGGGGCATCGGCCGTCCCCGCGGCCGCCGGGG